GTAAATGTTAGAGACTTGACCATCAAAGGTACATTCCACAAAGCAGATTGACACACTTGGTCATTTTCAGGCTGTGCAGATACACGAGGATAAGAACAGAGCAAAGGAGTACAGATCTAATACTCTAAGTACAAGACCTCCATTTTCAATACAGCCATGGAGATAGGAGAATAGCTCATGACAGCTGGGTTTTTAAACACAATTTAAGAAAATAAATGAAGGCAGTTGACTCAGCAGTGACCGTTACAATTTGTATTATATGGTGTGCTGTTGTTTCATTTAGGACCAGATGCTGACACATTAAGTAAAAGAACTCAGGGAGATGTCCAATGTGGGATTCAGTGGGATACTTTTGTATTAAGGTACCAACAAACAAGAGTGACAAATTCCATTGGTTAAGGTACAATTCTTGATGAGAAAGGCTGGTAGTTGCTGATAATGGTGGGTTAAACTCATAAGCTTTGTAGTGGTGATGAAAGCTAAAATGTAAGAGTACACAAGGAGTGGTTTTTGTTCTCAGATTCCTGTAATATGGTTAGCTGCCAGACTCCTTGCAAAAGTGGTGCTGGCAAAGGGTGTTCTCTTTTGCAAAGCAAAGCCCAGGTCTGAGCTGACAAATGCCTGATTTACATACAGTCTTTGAATGCATTGAACAAAAATCAGCTATAAGAAATTGCTTGCTGTAATCCAAACTCAGCTGAAAGGCTGCTTGGATTCAAACTTAACTACTTCCAGAGCCAGTTTTTGAAAATGTCTTTAATTTGTTGTCAATAAATGTTTCTGTAATGACCTTCTTCATTGCCTTTGAAAGAATCTTTGATCTCATGAGTTGAAAATATAACTGACTATAAAAATAGAAAAGCTGATGATGTTTGTATTACCATAAGTTTATTCAGTAGCTTTGAAGGCTGCCCTTCCGTCTGGGAAGGAAATACAATGCCAGTGCAGCATCTCCATTTTCTGCTTTGGTGCCTTTTCTTCCTCTATAGCAGTTGCTAAAAGCTGGAGTTCCTGCTTGCCCCAATTCCCTGTCCTCTTCTTGCATCTCTCCCAGCAGCTACCAAACATACCACATCATCCCACCACCTCCTTTCTCTCGTATCACCCCCTTTCTCATTGCATCAAACTCAAAATGTCTCATGTGCATTTCTTTCCACGTTCCCTTTTTGTTGTTACTCTGTTGCATTCCATCCTGTCTGCCCATGGTGGCAGCCTCAGTGCCCTCTTCCCCTGATTTCTTTCTTTTTATACCAGGTATTACCCAGAAGCACCCCTCTTTCTCATTTTCTATATGATGATATAAAAAAACTTGACTAGCAAATGGAAATTCCTCCTCAAAAAATCGATGAGGAAAAAGTGGGCATTTTTTGACTGGCCTCTAAAGCATTGTGAGCTCAAATTGTGGTTTTGACTTAGAAGCCACCTTGTTCTCCAAAACCCTTTCGATGTTGCCAGTATTGCCATTGCATTCAGCTGTGACAACAGGAGCAAAAGGATGAAGGGAGACAGCCTTGCAAAGCAGATGTTCTCCATGAATTGCCACTGGCTCCATGTCTGTCTGCCTGCCTGTTTTTAGGAAGCCTGAAGTGTTTTGGCACCAAATCCTGTCTGAATCCCCCAAGTACCTAACACTTCTGGTAATTAGGATTAACCGTTGTGGTTGTTAATATCTGTAGAAGATGGAATAAATTTGCAATGTCCTCAGAGCATTTGACTCCTACAGCTCAGAGCTGTTTCTTCATTCAGGATGAGGGCTCCTGCTATAGGTGGTCTGATGAGTGCCAGGGGAATTCAGTTCACTAAGATTAAAATGTGTGAAGTTTTCATGTTGTATGAAGGTTGGCAACTTCTGGTAAAGGTTAAAAGAGAGAGGGGGAGTGATAGAGGTAAGAGGAGGGAGGGTGTTGAACCAGTTATTAGTGGACTTGAGCGCAGGATATATGCTGGGAAGTCCAAACAGTTAGTTGGAAATGAATCGTAGACATTGCTAAAACCTTACTTCCCTCCAGCACAGCAGTGATGGGGATATGAGAATGTCCAGCAGAAGTGGTCCATGCCCCTCCTGTTGCTCCATCTATACAGGCAGTTGCCTGTGGAGAACCAGCAAGACCTCAGGTAGCCTAAAAGGTCCTTCACTTTGGTGGGGAATTAGTCCATTTGTCAGCTCTGAGATTTGCAGTAGAGGACAAAGGAGGTGGAGAAACACCTATTCCCTTTCACCCCACTGTTTCCTAAACACAGGACCTCTCTCCTCAGGGCAAGGTGGGAAGGGAGGTCTGTGACCTGAGGGTGAAACCCGTGTTTCAGCCATTCTCCTGATGGGGGGGGGGGTGGGTGAACAACGGAAAAAAAACTGGAAAGGTGCTGTTACAGGGAGGAAACTGTTCTAATAAAAGGAAACCTTGAGCAGGGAAATGCTCATGCATTCTGGGGTTGCAGGTCACCCTGTTTATGTGGAATAAAACAGTAGAGTCTGCTCACAGGGTCTGGGCTGAGGAACCAGTGGGGTTGGAAGCATCAGAAACAGGTTATAAAAATATAAATTGAAAGGAAGAGTCCAGAGAAAAGCTTCTTCCCATTCACCACCCTTCCAGACACAGGAGCCACATGGACGCTGTCCTGGAACAGGTATGGAGGCTGAGGACGTGCAGGATGTAGGCAAAACGTTGCACAACAGACTGCAAACTCCCCAGTGACGCCTCTTGCAGATGCACATTACTGCCTGCTGTGCTCCAGAGTTAATTTTCCCATAGTTAGATCTGGGTGTCCTAAAGTACAATTATCCTTCTGCTTCTCTGTGGTTTTCATTTTAGAAAGAGGAAGGAGAGGGGCAGAAAAGGAAGAACTTTACCTCAGAGGACCTTCCATACTAAGGCCGAATATTTAATGAAATCTAACTTTCTGGCCTGTTTTGTTGGAGCCAGTGAGTGAATCGCAGTTAAGCTCTGCCACAGGCTAAGGGGGTGCAGAGGCTGAGTCATGACAGACCAAAGGGAGTGATGCATTAGAAGCAAAATCGATGCTGGTCAGCCTTGAGTGCTACAGCAGAGGAGCACCATTAAACAGCTGCCAAGGACCATTCACTCTCTATGACATTCTTCCATTTTGCTACATTAGTTATGGTTTCCAAAAATGACCTCTCTTGACTCAAGGGATTTTTTGAGAGAAATTTCTCTGTTTAAATTTAATGCATTGTGAATCCACTCAGATTCTGTGAGAGGTTCGTTTGACACTTGACTGACTTGCTTGTGATTCGGAGAAAACTCCAGGAACAAACTTGCCAGCAGTTTCAAGTTGACAAGCAGGTATTCTTTATTGCGGCACCGGCAGACATGGGGGATAGCTCCTCCTAACTTGTGTCCCGGAATTGCTATACAGGTCATCCTTATATGGTCACTGAGCATATTACATCACTTTCCAAAAAGTTTCCTTCCGGCATGCATACAAAAATGTGGTGGTCTTTAAGGGTCGTTTACTTTTCCCAACAAGTTTAATTAACATTACAGACATAGCATCATCCTGGCCTTCTACTTACCAGTTAAACTGCTCTCATCCTGGACATCTGCTAGTCTGGGATACTCCCTAGTAGATGCTTACACCAGCTTAATGGGTTTATTAACACCCCAAGCATAGCAATCATCCTGTCCTTTTACTTATCAGTTAGTTTATCTGTGCCCACCCTGGACATCTGCTAGTCCCACATACTCCCCATCCCCAGGTCCTGTCCTGTTCTGCTTTTCTCACACCTTTTGTACTGAGGTCCTGAGGGCCTGAAACTATGTCAACTACCTGCAAGCACCGCAGTTATTTTCTGTTGCAAAGCCATCAAACTTAACATGACTTAGAACTGATTAGATTTTGTACTTTTGCGCCTCCTTGTTTCACTTGACACAAAAACAGTTCTGGAAAATTAACCCTTCTTTGCTAAGCCTCTATCTTGTGAGTAAATGGTAGCTAATGCTAGGAAAGGAATGAAATTTTTCATGGGAGTCATGATGCCAGAAGAAAGCAGGACTTGCATTGCAGGGCTCACACAAGTGGTGCAAAAAAAGTAGTGATGGTTTTAAATAAAAAGGTTAACTAATTGTTGGGAAAGCTGAGGAGTTTTATTTACTATGTTTAGTTTGCTTAAACCGTCTTCAGGCACAGTAGCCAAGACTGGTGGAGTGTCTGGGGGAGAGGCATTTACCAAACTAGAGACTGGAACAGGTCAGAAATGTGTTAAAAAAAGAAGTAGCAATTGATGCTGGTGGATCTGCTGGAGGTGCACTTGAATTTGCATTCATGCTAACTTCTGGTATATGCTTTCCTGTTCCTGGAGTTAGAGATTTCTGTAGGGTGTTGCTTTTGTGGCATCCGGTTAATGATGCCCATTAACTTCAATAAACTGCAGTTTCCCAAAGAATCTTGCGTATGTTTCTTCTATCCCACAGATAGGAGAACAAGAGCTCTGATTTCCTTACATTTTACTTCAATATCTTGGCAAGAAGTGACCTTATATTAACATCTGACAGTTTTGGATCACTTGAAGACGCACACAAGAGGCAAAATATCAGTGGTGATGTTCGAAATCCATTCCTCTATTGGTTCAGTGAACAGTTTGGTTTTGTTTGCTCCTGCATTTGACAGACTGTGAAATTACTGTCTTACTGTTAACAGGGCAAATGAAGATCTTAGTACTGTTTGGGTCCATTGAAATACCTGCATTACAAAAGAAGATTGAGTTTTTAAGAGCTTCCCATGGAAATCTCAAGTAGTTAATACACCTTTCATCACGCATATTTTACTTTCCTTTGATTTTACATGTGAACAGGAGCTTGTTTCTTGTGTCTCTGCTTCCTGTAAATGCTAGAGCCTCTAAATGTAGCATCCTAACTGGAAAAAATATGCTTTAATATTAATTTACTTGTCTTCTTATAAAGAAACCATGTTTAAAAAGGAAACGGAACCATTTTGTACAATTGATGGGGAGCTTTTTGTTTGCTTTTCTGTTTTTCCAGAACACCCAAGCCTTTCTGCAGCAGTTCAGTTGATTTCCATCGTAGATGCCACCAGAAACCTGAAATATGGAAAGCACTGATGTACTCACTATCCTGAGAAAAAGCATCTGAAGGCCTTTACTGTCCTGCTGTCATGTTGCAGATACACACTGAGTGTACCAGCTTCTGCATCCTCTTCCCCTACCCTGAGTTTTGGCTGCTTGTCTACACAATCACCTCTGATGTGGTGCAGGTGACTCTGGGCCTACCTTATTGCTATGGGCTTGTCTGATGCTCATGGGACTCTTGGCTGACTCTTCTTCCCATCACCCAACCCACTCTGCCCTTCTTGCTGGGGCACAGCAGGACTGCAGCTGCTTGCGGAAGGCACTGCCCCTGATGATGCTAGTGGCTTCCGAATCATCTTTGCAGATCAGCCCACTGACACTGGTAAGATGTGTACTTAGACTAATATTTTCTCAAGAAATTCTCTAATCTTTAAAATATTTTGCTTTGTGCATTAAATCCATATCTGAAAGAAGTGGTAGATCAAGTATTTCAGCTTACAAAAGAGCTTTTTTTCTGCAGTGCACGTGCTAGTGCTTGCAAGGGTAACTACCTGCAGACTGCGCTGCTTACTGCTTTCTGCATATGAACTTGGCTCTCGTGGCACCAAAGCCAAATGTGCAGGCTGCTATCTTTAGGGGCTGCAGTGAATCCTACCTGACTTAAATCTGGCTCCAAAGTCCACTTAAATAATTACAAATGTCATGTGGATTGTCTGAGAGCATTTACTGCAGTAAACTGTGTACTCTGTTGTACTCTTGAACCAAGATGCTATTTCAGTGCCTACTACTCTGAGAGTCATTTAGTTGACTGAAGTTCCTCTCTCAAACCCTTACCAAGCATGTTAATGTAGACATACGAGGGAGGCTTTTGACCAAATGTGGCAAGAAATCTATTGTGCTTATTGTCTGTATTTGCTTATTGTGGATCACCTAAGGTAATAGTTTCGCTTTAGCTCTTTGTATTAGTGAATAGCAAAAAATATCCACAACAAGGTAAGTGACATTCAGAGTTAGGCTCTGTCTGAACAGCTTTTCAAAGTAAGTGTTCCCATCTTGTAATCCAAACAAATAATCAAAGTAAAAATCATCTTTCATAACTGCTAGCCTAAAATGCTCAGCCAAAACCCTCTTCTATTAACTTCTGCAAGGAGGGAGATGGTCTTCAAGGGAGTTTCAGTTTTTTAATAAAGATATTTGGTTTTGCTTTTGGGTTGTGGTGTTACTTGGTTTCATTTTATAATATTTAAGTCAGATGTTTGCATGAGGCAGGCTTACAGCTACTTACTAGAAAGTCAAAGACTTTGTTAGAGCAGGAAATAGTCCTTTCAGTTCCACATTCAAAGGCACCTTTTAATGTGGCTGCTGAATTGGATTCATCAGAAGTAAAGGCTAATCTTCCCCTTGACATTTGTAGAGCTGGTTGATTCTTTTTATTCTGAACTATATATTCTTTCTTGGAAATGCTCTCTATTAAGAAGTTTTCCCAATTCCTAATATAAATTCTGCATATTCATAATTGAAAGCTTACAAGGAGAAGCATTAAAGAAAAAAAGCTGGCTCAAACCTGGCAGAGCACGCTGGCAATAAAAATATCACTGGGACAAAACCAGTGTAACTGCAGTGGCCAGAATTCTCCTGACCATCGTAAAACCACTTTTTGACATTAGTTGAAGGCTAATGTGGCAGGAGGGTGAGCTGGTGGCCTGTGCAGCAGCTAGTGTTCATGCAGGGCTATGTACTGACATTATTACAATACTTACACTACACACACAGGTGGAACTGAACAAGGGGACCCACCATGTATTCTCTGCTTAAGAAATGTCTTTTAATTTCTTCTATTGTGTAAATCACACAGCTTATTTCAATTTAGTTTTTTACTGGTTTGAAAGTACACTGTCCCTATAAGAAGACTACCTATGAAAGGGAAATAGTTGTTAGTATATATAGTTAAATGCACATGCATATATATATATATATGTTTTTGTCCTGGGTTCAGCAGTAGCAGTCATGTTTCTCCTTCTTGGTAGCTGGTGCAATGCTGTGTTTTGACTTTCAGCCTGGGAACAGAGCTGATAGCGATGCTTTGGTTTGGCCAAGGACTTTGTGATCCTCATGCTCTACCAGGGAGGAGGGAAAGCCAGGAGGAAGCAGAGACAGGACACCTGACCCAAGCTAGCCAAAGAGGTATTCCATACCACAGCACGTCATGCCCAGGAGGTAACTGGGAGTTAGCCGGAAGGGCTGGTAGACTGCAGGGTTGGAGGAGGTATGGGTCGGTGCTTGGTCGGGCTGGGGGGAGCGAGTTATCAGTTGGCTGGTGGTGAGGTGTTGTATTCTCTTCCCTTGTTATTTCCTTTATCATCATTATTATCATTGGTGGTAGCAGTAGTGATCTGTGTTATACCTTAGTTACTCAACTGTTCTTATCTCAACCCGTGGGAGTTGCATTCTTTTTGATTCTCCTCTCCATCCCTCTGGGAGTAGGGGGAGGAAAAGAAGGGGGAGAGTGAGTGAACGAGCCCTCTGCCTGGTTTTAAACCACAACAGTTTTCTATTAAAATAACAGTGGTAACTGAGGGACCCATGAGAGGTCTTATTATAGAGCTTTATTGCAGTAGGCACAACTTACTGGTTTTTTGCACAGATTGCTTCCATGATGACAAACTAGAGATATTGTTCACTTTGATTATGGAGAAGGCCAGAAAATTTTGAAACAGTATTCCTCTATTTTCTTAGCTTTTGGTAAGTAATACATTCCCCTACAAAATTAGCACCACAGAATTAATAGCACGAGGTCAGAGTTAAACTTGTTATATGAAAATTATACTTGGTAATGATCTGAGCTTTAAAAACTATCTGATACCCATTTCAGAAATGAGACAGTTCAGTTCCTTCCTACATTTCATTTGTTTTAAGGCAGAGAATGGAAATGGTATCAGGTTTTCTGCCAGCATATTAAAACATGTTTTTATTAACAAATAATTGCGTTGGGTCTTGGAAAGCATTAGCAGCAGCAGCAGCAGCAGAAAATACTTCTGGAAAGCTGAAAAATGTGTTTCAGGTTCCTTTGAATAAAAATGTAAAGCTGATCCAGCAGGGTATTTCCCTTCCCTGAACATAAGTTGGGAGAATTTTACATAGGTTCTACAGCCAAGAGCTACTTTAAATCTCATTTTGAACTCAAGTAATCTGTTAAATAAATGCTCATTTGGGTGAAAAGACACCCTGTACTTTTCTTTTTAGACAAAACAGGTACAAAATACCTAAATGCTTAACAATTTCAACTGAAATTCAGAGGCAAGTCCATATTTGAGTCCTATATGGAATTGTTTTACTTTCAGGTTTGGACTAGTAGGGATCAGCAGGGAAGGGGGGACGTTGATATTCCCTGTGGTGGTTTTTCCAGGATAGTCTCCTACATGGATGTAGTTATAACCATGTAAAGGTGTCAGTGGATTAGAAGAAAGTCATTGGTACATGAGAGTTAAATGTGATGTGATTAAATGAAGCTATCATCTAGCTCGTCAAAAAACTGAGAAGCAACTTTATTGCACCACATGAATGTGGTGAAATGAAGGAGAATCATAGAATAGTTAGTGTTGGAAAGGACCTTAAGATCAAGTTCCAACCCCCCAAATGCCGATAAACTTTTTGGTCTTGCAAGGGAGGACAAATCAAAAATAAAGGTTGGAAGCTCAATTCAGATAAAAATCCATTAGAAGTGATTTTTAGAGTGAGAATGACTGGGACAGTCTACTGAGGGATGCAGTGGATTCTGCATCTCTAATGGAGGCTGCATCTCTGAGTGGTCTTTGCCTTTGGGAAAGACATGAGGTCCTGAGCTCAAAACAGGGTGAGTGTAAGTGTTAATAGTCTGAAATAATCAGGATACTCACTGGACATAACAACAGTCCCTCTTGGATGTAAACACTCTAAGGGTTAGATCTTAAGTTTCATCAAGCACGTAGCTGCCATTCCTGCAGCTATGAGATCAATAAGCTGTGTGGCAAACATGTTATTAAAACTCAGTGACAGGATTATGTCTGTAAGCAGCTGGAAGTTGGTTCTTTGGAGAAGGTGTTAAAAATAATGGCTGGGGTTTACAGGAGGCCAGTTTGGATCATGTGGCAGAATGTCAAGCAATATTCAGAAGAATTTCCTGGGGAGAGAGGTCTCCCCAGATTGCCTCAGGGAGCCAGAAAAAAGGAGGTCCACTTACAGTAATGGTGTTAGTGAGCATAGAGATGTTAGCAATACTCATTTTAATAGAAATTTATAAATGCGTGAGTCAGCAGAATTTGATAGCAAGGTCCACTCTATTACATACAAAAAGAGATTGTGTCAGAATTGTGGTGATTTGTACAGAATTGGATTTAAGGGATTAACACAGAATTGTATTGAAATAATGCGTATAGAAACTAAAAATATGAAGGAACAACAGAGACTGTCCCACTGAGTCGCAAGGTTCAGAATATAACCCCTTGCTTCCCGATGGAGCCTAGGTGCAGCTGGACATAGGCCTTGTCTCATATTTGGACAACAGTTTATGTCTAATGGAATTTAAAAGGAAATGGAGATTAGGGGATTAAAGGTGAAAGGAATAAGGGAAACCTTCCCATTGGGTCAGACTAGAGCCCCTTGCTTTCTAAACTCTCTCTTGGAGAGGAGCCTAGGTGTGGCTGGATCCGATCTTAGTCTCAGACCTGGTCGAAAAGTTAATGGCTGAAGGATTACAAATATAATTTAGCAATAGTTTGTATTGTTAAGATGAATAACGACACTTGATTATTGCAGCTAATATACATGCACTTACAATTAAGTATCTAAACTAACACAACACACTAAGATGGAGATATATGGATATATAGATGTATACATATATACATGTACATATGTTAAAATTTTAACTCAGGTGCAATGAAAAGGAATATACTAATAATACACTCATATCAGCTTTCTTCAATAGGCAAAAGGTTGAGTGTCAGCGACCAACAGTAACAGCCCATAGCAGGTGCTACCCCTATTTCATAAACTTGAGAGTTTATGGACTCTGAAAGGCATCCCATTCAGAGGGAGATACCTGGTTTCAGCCCACTGCGTTCCAGGAGAACTCAGAGGGACTCTTTCTTGGGACCTCTATTTATAGGAATGAAAGATGATTGGCTTTAGTTAGTGTAAATTTTCATACTGGCCTCAAATCTTTGTCAGGGAATGATTAACCATCTCCAAAGAACTGATGTGATAAAGGAGTATCCAGGCCTTCCTGTGATCTGTGTGGTCCTTCCTGCCTTTGTTAGGTCAGGGGCCCCAGCCATCCAACTCCTTGCATTTATGCAAAGGTTAACAGGAATTCTTGGGAAAGCAAGTGTGTCCAGGAGAGAAAGGGAGGGATACACCACCACAACCACCTATCCTTTCATTTTGTTTCTTTCAATCAAACTTCATGTAGCAATCTCTTTGAAAAGATCAAGTGACTGGCTGAGTCCAACCCCTCTGAATCCTAATGATAAGCCACTCACTGACCTTGGCAAAACCAGGATGTCATCCTTGCTTTTTGAAAGAAAAGAAGGATGTCCCAGCATAACCAAAACATTGTGTAAGCTTTTAAGGCCAAGCTATCCCATGGGAACAGTTTCCTCCTTTATCTCCTCCTTCTTCATCCAAAAGTACAATTTTCTTTAAAAAGCCTCTGCAGACTGCTGCAGCAATTTTGTAATTTGAGGCTAGAAGGAAGCTGGAGTTTTCTAAGGGAATAAAGAAGCAGTTTGATTAGAACATGGCAAACCTCCCAATAGCTCCTAAAATAGGTTCTTTTGGGAAGTGTTTATATCACCAGATGGCACAGCTAGGACTTTGTGCATCTGGATGACCATCCATTCATCCTCAGGTTTCTTTATATTATCCTGACAACAGTGAAATAGTTGGAAGCCAAGGCTCAAACCTTTCAGACTCCAAGTCCTTTTTTTACTGGTTCCTGCAATGAAACACATTCACATTAAGGCTCATATAGGAAAATAAGTATGTGATGAAAATGTGCCATAGCCCTGGATTTTATGGTGAAATTTAATGAACTTTATTCCACTATCTAGCTGCATGTGTGTGGTTCACTGTGTGGGTCCTTCAGTCTGGTGGCTCAGTTGGAGCGCCTGGATTTGGCAAGTGGGCAGAATGAATTCTGAACAGATCGTGTTGTTTAGGGAATAAGCTGGACTTTGTGTCCTTCCCGTTCACTGATGCAGCACATGTTCCTTGGCCACCAAATGCTGGCAAAAAATTTGTGAAGGATACAAAATGAGGAGGGTGGAAGAAAAAAAGAAATGCCCCTTAAAACAGACAGATGGAAAATTTCATATATTGAAAAAAGATGTTTGGTAGAAAACAGGCTCTTAAGTCTGTTTGTTATTTTTAGGCAATAATGCACTTGATGAAAAGAGTGTTCTTGATAAGGAACAGCCTCTGATGGGAGGGAGGGAGACAGGACCACGGCAGGTAGTTATTAAGGCCAGTTTGGTTGGCGGCTGTAAAAGTAAATAGTAGTGCTGCTCTTGGTTAATGAGCAGCAAATGGAGGGATTAAACAAACTTTCAGATCATTAAACAAACCTAAAGTTCAGTCAACATCAAAGTATGGATGGGGTTTAATTTGAATTTAAAAAGAAAGGCAAAAAAAAAAAACCAAACCTGGGACTAAATATTTCTGCAGGTCTTGTGCAGTCTCCATCAGACCTGCCTGGGAGCAAGACTGGTACCATAGAGGGGAAGGTTCTGTGTAGCTCCTCATTTCTGTGGGTAGGTCTGCAGTGATATCTGTCTCCCTGGACATCATTTCTCCGCCAAGGTTCCACCTTCTCTATAAAATCCTGTTACTCAGATAGCTGGGGACATGAATCTATTGCTCAGGCAAAGGGCTGCAGCCATTGGGTTACCCTGAAAGCATGCCTCAGTCAGGTATCATGCCCCCATATCCAGCCTACTTCCATTGGAAGGCAATGAAAGGACCACAGTCAGTAACATTGCCTAAGTTTATTATTGGAAACAGGATGATGTTGATAGAAAATAAATGAAAACTTTAAAAATCAAAGTTTGAATGAAATTGTAACTCAGAGCTGTTAGTGGCTTCTGTGTGATTCAAATGTTACCCGTACTCCTAAACTTAGTCTCATGTGGGCACAGACAGTGTGCTTGCCTCCTCTGCCCAGCGATGAATTTGAGTCCATAGTCTTCACATTTACCCATTCTAACTGTGAACAGAAGTTCTGTAACGTTTTCTTCATTGCAGTCTAAAATAGAGGAAAGCTCATTATTTACATGCAGCATCAGACTTCCCCTTGATGTTACATGGGCACTTTGTGCTCTTTCACTTATACTAAAGTCTATCTATCTAAGACCCAGAAACTAACGGGGAGAAAATAGTAAAGCTGTTGTGTAACTTACTGCTGAAAAGAAGTTTGTTATTAAGATGCTTTAGTATTTTTTTTTAATAGCTTTTTTTGTAATGCAAATGTTCTGCAGCAAAGCCTGTGGAACCTTGTGTTATTATTCACCCTGAGTATCCTAACTTTCGTTTATATTTAAATACTGGGTCTTTTAGCCATTTGGAAAACCCCATAAATATGTGGATTAAGGGGCAGAGGGAACCAATTCTCAACAAAGGAAAAAAGCCCTGCAATGTAAAAAGAGAAAGAAAGAGAAAGACATGATTTCCCCTCACACCTGCACAGAAGGATGGCCAGCTGATTACTTAGTGCTTTCAGATGGCTAGATCAACCTGTGCTTGGGGTTTTTATCATCTCTTTTCTCTCTTCTCTCCCCTGCCTCTTGCCCATTACAGAGATGAGGGAAATCATTTGAATAGAAATCCTAGCACTAGTAGTAATCAAAGAACTATTCTGTTCTTATTTCAGGATCAAGTAAAAATCATTGTTCTTCCTCCACCACCACCTGTTCTCTCCTCTTGATGTAATGCATTATGGCCACCTCTTAGGTTCTTGTTCATTTTGGGGTAGATCATGAATTAGGTGACTGATTGCAGAGGGGAGCCAGGAGTTCTCCTTTCTGCACTCAGTGGATGCACACCGAGGACAGGAGTCTCACAGCCAGTTTAAGCCAGCAGCAGTGATTTACCTTCTTCTCACAGCAGCAGAAAATCTCTGTGGGAATATCACAAGGTTGCTTTGAGAGGCTTGGGCTGGGCTGTTGCTACTCAGCCTACGCAGGCTGCTCTCGTTTTATTGTGACTCATGTTCCTCAGCCCACTCTTTTTTGCCTGTCTTCTGTCTCTCTTACACCCAAAATCACACTGCTTAGTGATTATGGTTTTCTTTGCAAGATAATCTGAAATGTTCATTACTATTTTGTCTATTCCATTACCAGTTAAAAGCCAAAATGAGCACTGTTGCATCTGAGCAAGGCCCGGAATTAATAGGTGCAAGAGCAGCAGGTCCAGGAGGTAATTATGCCCCAGCGTTTCCTACAGGATAGACTTGAGGAAGATGGTTGCAGCCACTATGGATTGCAAGGAGGTTGAAAAGCTATTTGTGCAAATTCTTGAGGCTAAATTTAGTCTGTTAGGGCTGGGTTTGAGGCCACTCCTCCCCAATTTCTAGTTCAGGACTGTGTTTATTATCTTTCAGCAGCTGCACAGCAGTCAGCCCTGGAGACTGAAGAGGATAATCAGTGTGTTTTGATCCAGAGCTCCTTTTCAGAGCTAATAAATAAGTTAGTTTTTATTTGTGGTTTATGTGACAGTTTAGAAGCCCACACCATTCAAAGGTGTATTTCGTTGGCACAGGTAATTAGTAAACATTACCCCGGCACTATAATTTGCGGTTTGTTTTCCCTCTGAAGCAGATAGATATAAATTACTTTAAAGGGCAGACCTCTGCAAGAGAAAGTGTTCAGGCACCCAAACACCAGCTTCTAGCAATTAAAGAGATATTATTGGCATCAACAAGATTATTGTCGTTTTTAAACTATACAGCTGCTTATGACTACAGTGCTTTCCTGGAAAGGCAGCTGATCGATCACGAGCATGCCTGGCTAGCAAGCTCTGGGGTGGGCTGGGAATTACCCACTGCTATGTTAAGACTGGTTATCTTGGAGGTCTTTGCCTAGGTTTCTCTCTCAGTGCATCATTATTGCTGCTGGTATTTACAAGTCAGCTTCTATGCCTTGATCTGAGCTTGCTGCCTGCCTTGCCTGCGTGTTGCAATGGGGATGTTAGCGTAAGAACTGACACATAACCACCGGAATGGTTATATGAGGTGCCTTATTGCAGTGCTGGGAAACCAGGGGCACGCGCCCAAATCTGGCTTCAACCCCATTACATTGCGCTCACAATTTATACACTAAAAATGTCGTCACTAATACATATTCAACACAGATTACATCATTGACTAATACATATGCATCAAGGATTGCCACATCAGTCTATTATGACATCAGCCTCTTTTGTGCTTGCGCAGCCCCCCTCTGGTGGTCGTCCTGATGAAGTAAGGAGTCTTCCTCGGATGAAGTAAGAAGTCTTCCTCAGGTCATCCTGTTCACTTTTCTGTTCCTTGGACATGTCCCAGTCATTATGTGGACGCCAGCATTCTCTTATTTTCACTTGACTACTCCTGGTACCTTCGTGAGTTCTGCTTCGGTAGAGTTTCACAATACTCCCCTGGATCCACCCATATACCCTTCCCCATATATGGCTATGTTAATTGCTTATCATTATAGCTACCATTGTAATATTTAGTGATAAAGTAACTAAGATACACAATAGCAGAATTTCAACTTGTTCTTAATACAAAAGAAACCCTCTACTGATTAACAGATTTTCAAATATAATCATCTTTTCTCTTTGTATTATTGTTTCAACACACAATTTCACCTATTACTAACAGGGACAGCTACATGGGAATTGTTCAGTGAAACAGCTTTGTCAAAACTGAAATTGTTCTGTAGGAATGTGGTGGATTTCTAGGGAGCCGCGCAGCTTGTGGCAGGTTCTTGCTGGTCCCCACATGACAGCCTGGACCTCGGCACCAGGTGCTTGTGAGGCTGCAGCACTCCTGACCCCAGAGCAGGATTACCCTGGCTCCCCAGTCTGAACTCAGAGGATCACTCCACAATGGCTGGGCACAGTGCTGCATTGTGAAGACAGAGGCTAATCCTCGGAAGTCCTAAATCCAGCCTTGAATTATCTAGCCTCCATTAAGCATTGGAGCCCCTGTTTTACTGGGCTTGTCTCAGATTTTGACATCCAGAAACCAGGTCTCAGCTAAGTCTTGGGATGTGCTTTAATTAAAAATCAAAAAAAAAAGTGTTTTGTAGGTGAAATTTACTGGGTTTTCTCTGCTGTGGGAGACATCAAAGCTTCTCTTTTGTTCTGAAAGAGAATTATTTCTCTACTTTTAAAGCAGTTTTGGACTTCACAGTGAACAGACTTCCTGTTTTCCTGTCACTATGAATCTGTAGTGGGGTCACTGGCCCCAGCTCCAATGCTGCCCTGCAGCTCTGCTTCCCAGTACAGAGCAGCAGACCACCTCTGCTGCTGCAGCACCACTGGCTGTGAGAGAGACTGTCACCACTGTTTACACAGTTTTAGCTGAACTGGGAGAGAAACAGTAAGACAGCTTCCAGGCTCATTTATAATTACGCAGAGAGAGGGAAATTAAAATGACAGTATTTAAGTTTTTGCTCTCTCCTGGTGACATTTAGACATGGGGTTCACCCTTGGCAAAGGCAAAGTAAGAGCCGAGGACAAAACCTCAGACAGACCCATTCTTGTTGCAAAGGATTGTCAGTAGGCCTTTCACTCCCTCTTCTCCCTTATACAGGTATGCCATTCATTTTATTAGTCCCTTGTGAATTCTGTGGCAGATAATGACATAATTGAACTTAAACAAACTAGACTAGACTCTGCTATGGTCTAGTGAACATTTATGTCAGTCGAGCACCAGGAGACTTCTGGAGAGGTTTGGGGTTTTGTTTTTCTTAATTTTTTTTTCTTTCCTTAAAAGCTTCCAAAAAATCGAATGTCAGTGGCATTTTCTGGAGCAGGTAGTTCTAATGGAGCTGCACAGAGATTTGGGTGGTCATCTGCTTTTTGTGTGCAAGAAAGACAGGATTAGTTTTACCCAAAAGGCAGTCACAAAGGTGTCCCCACAGGAAACACTAATTCTCCCTGACTCAGGTGGATAAAAGATTATGACACAAATGGTTACATTCAAAGGAAATTATCTCTTCCCCAAAGAGTAACTGTATAACGCTAATAGATTAACAATCTATTACTTAGATTGGGAGAGCTGTATGTATGGCATGTTATATGTTGCTCAGGTAATTGAAAGGAGAGCATCTGTTGTATGGAAAATTGCCTAAGCTGCTAGTGAAGTAGGGCCACATTCTTGGCTGCATAAATGTGTGTGGTTACAATTTAGAGCAGGAGAAATACACCTGCATTTAGTTGGCATTGAGTTGAGCTTTGCTATGAACAGGCATTTTATGGAAAACAGTATAAATGGTGGGGAGCTTGTTCTGATGGGGCTTCTCATTCAAAGGCAGTTCTTACTGGCATCTGCAGTACCCAAAGGGCTTCTTGTCCACAGTATCATGAAGAGTAAAATGAGTCAGCTCAATGGCTGAGGTTGACCCTGAGCACGGAGAATCAATCCTAGACTGACTTCATCTTAGGGGTGAAGCATCCTGGAGATAAAAACAACCTGTATTCTCTGTGACCTCCTGGTAACTGTGGGAGTATTTCTAGAGAGTGTTTAAGCTTTGCTAAAAGCCCACTGCAGGCAGGCACTAAATTAGAGAAGGCTCCAAGGAGAGATGTTACAGCTAATCTTATGTCTAGAGTGTTAAAAATATTAGCATTTAAGAAGACCTTGTGCCTTCTTTCTTTTCTTGCTTTCTTTTTAATTTCACTGCAATAACCATGGTTAGGTGTCTAAGACCAGGCAGTGAGCATCACTTCCCTGTATGATTCTGTTAGCTGAGGCCTTCTCCCTCCACATTAAACATTCATGGTATTTAGAATAAATGTTGCATGCATTCTTCTGTTGGAATAAGAAGCAAACTTCCTTAGTGAAGTAATTAGAATGTGGGCCACAAGGTTTTATATAGCAAGTCAGACTTTATTTTAGTGTGCAGAAATTCTGTGCTAGGCCTTTTATCAAGAAAGTCCATTTGTTTTGAAAAGCCTTTAATCAATAAATCCTAATGAAAATCATATGTCAGATAACTGGTAGTCCTTAAGATTTTGATTTTATACCCAAGAGGCTTCTAGCTTACTGATGACATAAGTGTATTTATTTACTGACTAGATCAATAGCCTGCTCAATAACGTTTTTTTGCCAAGGTTACAGGCATTTGGCTGAAATAATTAGAACTGTTTGTGATGATGGATTTTTCTGAAACTTGCTGTAATACCTGAAGAAACTCCTGCCTGGGTGCCTTGGGGCTCAGACAGAGCTGTATTTAGTTGATGTGCAGCACAGTCCTCCAAGCCCTGTCTAATAAATAGAGTCTGTTTAATTTTCTATGACCTGACTTCCAAACCTTGCCATCCACAAGGCCACAGTTTGTGCCCTAAAGCTCATATGTAGAATTATATCACATTTATAACATTTATATATGAGAGTATTTGTCTGCAGCAGTTGGTGGGAAGCATTGAGGTTTGGTAGTGGGCTTTGATCCCAGAAA